CAACCTGAAAATCAAAGGGTCCACATCTATGGCATAAACTATTTCTGATTGAATGAACTCTTACAACCTGAAGGAGATTTAAAAATAGCTCAGAAAGTTCTCCAATGTTGGTGTCTCCTTTCCCATCCTATCCCATCTTTCTACTCTCAATTTCTCAATTTTCCTCTATAGTTTAGGATCCACCGTTCTTCCACCTGCTGTCTAGACTAAAACATTTTCTGTTTCCTTTCAGAGCCTCTGATTTGCTTCTCCAATTACCATTAAGCTTGGCAAAACAAAAATGAAAGCTATTCTTAAACCAGCTCTTGGGGAATCTCAATATAACCCAACACTAGTACTGTTACTACCTCTTCAAAGACAGTAGAGTCCTGGAGAGGACAGTCTTGTCCTATAGTTTTTATCTTTGGTTACACTCATTCAACAAATGAGATCATATTACTTGCTCAGTAAGGAGGATGGGGCATAGATGATGCAGGGACTTGATCTTGGAATAATGATCTTGGAATTTCTCTGTAGGGTACCCTTGACACATTCTATATTGGGGAGTTAGTCACACGTTTAGAAGAGCATTTGCAAAAAATAATGACTGTTGTTGAATTCAAGGGAACAGGAATTAGGAGACTATGGGAAGCAAAGTTTGAGGTTATAGGGAAACAGATGAGAAAATATTTTAGAAGTAGCACCAATGAGATAGCTTAAGATAGTATATCACTCACTGTTCTGTGTAGTTGCTCATAAAATTATTGCTATTATTCTGTAGGGGTATCTCTGTGTTTTTAAAATGCTATAAAAATACAAGCATTTAGCATTTTCTCAGAGGGCACAATTTAATCACTTACCAACCTTGCTTTCCTTTAAAACTTAAACACAAGCTTGGCTGTGGAGGAATGGGAGTGAAGAGCCAAAGATAATTGTCCTTTTATGTAATTACTTTGGCTTTCCACTTACATTTTTGTTCAAGAATCATTTTTTTTTCCTGATCACCTTTGGTTTCTCATGTAAGTGTTCAACTAACACAAAAAATGTTTCATATCCAACAAACAGTAAGTCAGCTGGAAGCAAAAACAAAAATTAAAATAAGTCCCAAGCTCTTCCTTTTGTAGATAACTCCGCATGTGATCATTATACTTTAAGTTCTTAAAAGTTATTAAATCAACCAACATGGACAAATTAAAATGTTGTGGAACTTCTGAGGACTACACCCCCATTTCACTCATAAGTTACTGCTTGGGGTTCCCTTGACATCCTTTTCCAGTGGAATCTTAGAGGAGTCCACACAGAGACTCCGGAAGCCATTGATATGTTATAGCACACATAGTCCATCCCTAACTCAGGCCCATAGTCTTTACCCAATTTTAATCTCTCTCCGTCGATTTTCAAAAGTGTTCTGATTTTAGAGTATGAGTTATTTGATCATCCTAGCTCTGAAGGAGAGAGCAAATGCTCGTACTGTGGATGGGACAACATTCTTCAAAATAAATCAGTTCACTGTTTCTTTCCTTCTTGACACTCTGGGTGAGTGGCAGGTCTTCTGCTTTAGTGAGTTAGGTCTGGGAATGTCCAGGGGAAAGGAAGTTGGAGGTGAGAAAGTCAGTGTCCCCCTAACTGGACTTCTCAAGTCCTTATTATAGATTACGGGAACAATAGAAGAGATAAATGAAGACTACTATGAATATCAATGGGGCCAGATAAAATATACTGATGGAAACTAGGACATTCTTTCTGATACCTAGATTTTAACATCTTATTGGCAAAACATAGATTAAAAACTGCTTGAAAAATTCCAGCAAATCAATGATAAAAGTCATGATCATTAAGGAGCCAATGACATGAGTAGAGGTAAGAAGCCAATGATACTGGAAAGCCAACTTGGGTGGACTCCAAGCAGGGGGCAGCCTGGTGAGAGGTAGGACTCTGCCCTCAGTGTGGGTGGGTTGACGTCACTACCATGTCTCCTCTGGAGCTGACAACTGCATAATTCTTGGGCAACTGGATTAACCTCTCTGTCCCTTGCTTTTCCAAACTGGAAAATGAGAAGAATCAAACCACATCACTAACCAAGACATGGCTTTCTTTTACAAATGAAAATCTTATTTCAGGATTTATTTATTTTTTTCTTAGTTAGAAACTTCTGAAAGAGAGGAAGTAAACCTGTGTCCCTACTGGATTTGTGGATTATTTTCTTAGACTAAGTTAAAGAAACTCGAAATTGTGTTGTATGTAATTTTTATCTTAAAAATCTACAATTTAGTGCTGAGTTATGGTAGTGGAGCATGTGCTTAGCATGCGCGAAGCACTGGGTTTGATTGCCAGCACCAAAAAACTTAATTAATTAAAATAAATTAAAGATTTAAAAATCCATGATTTTCATTTAGATGACATATGAACACCTATACAAACTGGATGAAATTGATGCTTTTTTTTCTGTCTTCACAAATTCGTCCAAATAAGATAAAAAATCTTTTTGTGTCCCTGAAAGTAGAAGTCTAGATTCATTTTTAGAATGTTTATATAAACACAGACGACATTTGAGGAACTGACTGGTTTCAAATCCCAGAAGTCAGCAAAATGAAAAAAAAAAATACTGTTTATTTTTAAAGGCAAGCATAATAGATTTCTAAGTCAGTCTGTTATGGGTGCCAGTGTTCCTAGACCAAAGTCAGGGAATATTTGAACATAAAAAATGAATATTTTTTTAACCTTCTTTTCTAAGGCACTAGATCTTCTTACTCCTCTCCCCAGTTATACCAGTCAAGATAGTGACATGTGGTCCAGAGCCTTGGTACCTAAAGTAGTCAAAATAAAATCTTACAGCACGGACACTGCCTGGGAGAAGCACACTCTCAGGCCCATGCTCCAGAACTGCTGCGTCAGACCCAGCATCTTAACAAGCTCTTCTGGTGGTTTTTATGCACAGTCAAGTTCAAGGAGCACTGGATAAGAGAATGCTTGGCTAGACATAGGAGAGATCATAACACAATTCAGTCAAGTAGAGGAGCAGGTAGAATTAAACTGCCTTGTGCCTTGCCTCCAAATGGAAAAATTAACAGACGTCTACTAAGGCCCCTTTTCTTTCCCTTATGCACACACTGACACCAATCACTGTCTTTTCTTACTGCTTGCTCTCAGTATTATTTCACATTTTCTGCATGACGTGATCATGCTTAAACTTTGCAAATGCTATTACTTTTCAAATGTTCAAATTTTCTCTAATGTTATTTCACTTTCAACCCTACAAATGTTCTATTTACACGGCCCATATCGGTTTCCTTTTCTTTGAGACTCTTTCCTTTACCAAAGCAGACATAATATGAAGGAGAAGAATGGTTTGGCTTGCGAATGTACTGATTCCGGGAGTGCAGCCATGGACCAGTGCCAGCTAGAATTGGGTGAATGATACCAGGGGTAAAGTGGAACCCAAGATCTTCATCAACAAAAGCAGGGGCATAGCTTTAGTCATGCATAATGGAGAAATCTTTGGCAGCATGAACCACAGCTGATGGAAATATTTGTTTTAATTTTCTTTGAGGGCTGAAACATGGCACACTCTTGGCTAATCGCACTTTCCAGAAAAATCATCAATGGAAGAAGATAGTTAGAATACTTTCTTTTCTAAGGGCATTTCCACTAATGCATCACAAAGTTTCCCAATTAAAATTAGGATAAAGAATGTGAATGAATCTTGATTGGAGAAGACAGAGGAAAACTTAATATGGGGACAGGGTAGAAAGAACAAAAGCATTAGGATCAGATAGACATACTGGAGTTCAAATCCCACATCTGCCACTTATCAACTTTGAACTTGACCAAATGACTTGAACTCACTGAGCCTCAGGTTTTTCATATGTAAAATGAGAATAATGATATTTATCTTGAAGAATTATTTTAGAGAATCAAATGGGATAATAAAGTTATGGACTATAGCAGAGGACCTGGCATGTAATCACTCAATGAATGGCAAATATGTGCCTTTTGCTTTATTCTGAGTTAGTGGCAGGATTACTTCCTATGACTGGCTATATAACCTGAGAGATAGTGGAAGCCAAGTTCATAATTTCATGTACTCATAGAAGAATTATAAACAGATGCATGGTTGTTATTTTGAGTGAGCTGTACTACTGTGCTAAAGGACAGGGCTGATTAGTTTGAATAAATATTAAGCCTAGTATGATTTTGGAATTCCTCTGTAGTCTCCAAAAAGAGAGAACCCATAGCAATCTTCAAATGTTTTTCAGTATTTAGGAGTGACCCTTTTCACTATCTTGTTTTTGAAAACTATGTAAAAAGTATTTCTAAAAAAGACAATATTACTGAAAGCTACTGAATGTCACTGATTTTCATCGTTCACTTTTTCATTCAGGCATTAATTCAACAGTTGATTCCCTACTGTGCCAGATACTGAGTTAGGGGCCAAGAGCACAGTAGTCAACAACAACAACAACAACAAAATATATATATATATACACACACACACAAATTTTGGTAAGAATGCCCAAGAAATGGAATTATATATTATAACAATGGAGAGTCACCGGCTGCACAGCAATGTTTCAGTCCAAGAGGGACTGCATGTGTGATAGTGGCCCCACATAGCCTAGGTGTGTAGTAGGCAAGGCTATCGGTTTATGTAAGTCCACATTGTTCAGACATTAACAATGAAATGGCCTAATGACTTATTCCTTAGGTTGTAACCCTGCTAAGCAGATGCAGGACTTTCCTCCTAATTTCTATCTTGACACAAAGCAGTCCTCTCCTCACCCCCTTTTTACACAAGTTTGTATTATGCCTTTTTCTCATCCTTTGAAAATTTATATCTTTCCAGGAAGTTTTTTTTTTTCTTGTATTTGGGATGTTAAATAGCATTTGGCTTAATACTATTAAATCTCTTTCCAACTTTTCTTCTATAATGGGATTCTAACTGGCTAATTTGTATTATATGGAATTATTTTTTGTAAGATACAGGACTAAATTCTAGCTACTTTATTCTTACTTACAGCAGGTTTACTGGATTACAAATCTTCAGAAAATGGGGAAACAGAGCAGAACCACAATCAGGGACAAAGAAGACTTTGTTTACAGATGCCCTAGGCCCATTCATAGGCAGTTTGCTTCACCAAGGTATGGGTACTTGTGGATGACAGAAAATGTTGTGGTAGATGATAACTCCATTTGCTCATTTCTATGTCTGCACACTCTGCAAGACTCCGGTGAAGAGTTGGAATTTATTTCCCACCTCCTGAATCTAAACTGGATTTGTGGCTTGGGTTAACTAACAGAATAAAGAGAAAATGAGTTTATTCCAGTTTTACACCTTGACTTCAAGAGGGTTTGTGCAAATGTTATGAAAATTATTTAGAGAATCCTGCTGCTATATGGATACCTATGGTCTAGTTAGCTCCATCACCTAGCCTACAGACACATGAGAGAGTCCATTCCAGACCAGTTCCAGTAACAACCCCACTGATGATAATAAGCCTGATGGAAGGATGGATTAGATAAGCAGAATCACATAGCTGAAGTAGTTTGTTATGTAGCAATAAGAAGACTATGTAAGAAGGATGATAATAAGCCTGATGGAAGGTGGATTAGATAAGCAGAATCACATAGCTGAAGTAGTTTGTTATGTAGCAATAACTAATGATTATAAATATATTTGAATGATTTCATATTTTTTTTAGGTGATACCACTTTTCTTTTCCACCATCTCCTTTCAGTATGAATTCCACCCTTAGGAAAAAAAAATTCTTATTTTATCCTTTGATTGGCAAGAACATCCTAAGGTATTGATGTCCTGGTGAAAGTTTTATAATAAAGATTTTAGGAAAAAGTTTGTGTGTGAGTGTGTGTGTGTGTGTGTGTATATATATGTATGTTTTATAATAAACATACATATATATGTTTATTATAAATTTTATATATAAAAAGAATGTGTAGTACATAAGTCACAAATAATAAAATATGCAATATTCTTATTAATTTCATATCCATTCCATTCTCACACAATGATTTTAGTAAGTATTTCAGAACTTACTAGAACTATTATGCATAGCCCACTTCCTGTTGCAAATACCACCAATATTTGACAAATGAAATTTCACCCCAATCTGATACCACTCCCATAAGTTTTTACCACTAAATGTCATATATAATATACTGTTGAGAAATTTCTTAACCTATTCAAAGTTGCATTCATTAAGTTATAACTCCTTTGGGCTTCAATATTAGATATAATGCAGCATTTCATTTAATTTGAATTATTAGCATTTTCTCCATCATATTCTTTAGCCTAAACAACAACAGGATAATAAATCAAGCCTTGATTTTCAGTGCTGCCTATTTCTATGGTGGAACATTTCCACTGTGACCATTTTCAACCTACTAGTACATCATAACTGAACATGGACCTGGAAGAGAAACACAGAAGCAACCATCATACGATATTTCCATCATGCTGATACAATGGAGATAAATAACCTCAAGAATATAGGTAATATTTAAGTATAGTAAAATGCTGAAAAGTAATAAGTTTTTAGAGTCTATGACTTTTGTTTTTAACATAATTTATTGAATTATACGTTTATATAATTAATTTTTTAAATGACAGGCATGTTGAACAAATGGCTTGTTAAATTCTTACAGATATTAAAGAGATGAACTGGTTTCAGTCCAGCCCTGCTGAAGAATGCTGGAAATACTTAATGGTTCTAATTATAACAAGAGCTCCCACTCATCTAGTGCTCACTAGATTCCAGTCATTGTTCTAAGTATTTTACTGATGTGACATGGAGGAGTTGACAGGAAAGATGAAATCTAGATGGTGTGAGCTTAGATACAGAAGCAATATTCAGCAGTGATGGTGAAACAGTAGTCTAGAAACATTTGGTGATTTTGAGAAGATGCAATTTTTTGAAACTGGATGTGAAACATAATTTGTAACCTCAAGAGAGCTCAGAAGGGAAATTATATCCATGGAAGTAAATTCGCTCATTGCTTGAACTCAACTCCAGATTTTTACACAGAATGGATTCCATGACAACAGTATAGGTGGACCATAAATTGTGGCCTAATCTAGAACTTGAACTGGCATCGGAAGCAGTTTTCACTTATATATATGTTTCAGGTTAATAAAAATAGCAGTTTTTCAAGATAGCTTATATTCATGAGGCTTAAGTTTGAGAAAGGACCAACTTTGTTGAGATTATTATGTTATTTTATTAATAGAACTGTGGGATAACTGGAGATTTGGGGGCCAATCACCCATTTCTTAAGTTGTAACTCCTTTTGGCTTCAATATCAGATATGACACAGCATTTAATGTGTACCACCAAACTCTTGGTATCACACTGGAACAAAGGTGTGACCACCTTCCCCATGACTCCAAGTATGTGGCAGAAATGAGAAAACAGTGCAGATCATACAACCTCCCCAATACCTTACCTGTCTCCTTTCTCTTTGCATAGTCTTGGTTTCCTGTGAATGAATCTTTCCAAAGTCTTTTGTGAAGCAAAAGTTACTCAAAGCAGTGCAATGGGTGTGATTTAGCTTCAACAAAACAGGCTATTTGGGTGTTCTCAGGTTTGTTGCTTTTTTGGCTTGTGCTCTCTTTCAAAAATGGTTTCAATTTATTCTGAAAGAAAATTGGTGACAAAGGCGTTCAGGAGACTCTGGAACACCTAATACTATGACTCAGTTCCTTGTGTTCAACTCTGAGAAGCCTCAGGGGACATTATTAGCCACAAGTGAGAAATACCACTGAGGGTTTGTCTGGTGTGGGCAAATGTGCCAGAAAATGATATGTAAAACCACTTAAAACTAATTTATACATTGCTGTTGTGCATTACTAAGGTAAAACTCATCATTCAGATGTAAGAAATTTGGGAAATCAATTAACATACAATTGTCAAGCTCCTACCATATGAAAATTGTTGTGGTAAATCTTGAGATGAATAAGAGCATGTAAAAATCCCTGAACCTGCTTTGAGAGATGTTGCAAACTAACTGGAGAGAAAAGAAGTAGTTACCTAAAAATAGAATAAGTAAATAAATAAATAACACAGAAGAGGATGATACTGTTCAGGTTATGGGTTGGTGGCTTGGGAACAACATCCTTGAGAAGAACTGAGAAGTGCTTTGATGGGTGATAAGTGCATGAAGTACAGAAGGAGAATTTGGCTCTAGGGTTAATGTAGGAAAGTTTGAACTTTATCTGGGAGGCAATGGAAAGCCACCGAACAATCAACTTACAGAAATACTGAAGTGATAGTTGCTACAGAAAAGGTCAGTAGCAACAGATAGAGTTGCAGTGAGGATACTCTTGCAGTATGAACTGAATATGATGTTTGGTTCTACCATTTATTAGTCAAATGACCCTTAGCAAGTTACTCATATCTCTAAACTTCAGTGTTTCACCTCAACAACAACAATAAATAGTAACAGCATCTTTCTTATTCAATTTTTTTTTTTTTTGGTGACAAGTGAAATACAAAGGTAGAACACTTAGAATAATGCCTGAGCCAGAAAAAGTTATAACAAAAATAAGGATCTTAATTATATTCTTGGCAGCAGAGATTTGAACCAAGTGGTAAGAGTGGCAATGAAATTGTATGGGAGGAAAAGTACAGAATTTTCAAGATTCCAGACATAGCAAGCCAAAGAGGGAACAATATCAAAGTGGATTCAGGTTTAAAGCCTAAAATACAGATGATACCACTATGGTGCATGGAAAATCGGCCAGGCAGGAGAAAAGCAAGTGATTTTTCCAGCATACTCACTGTCTATGTGTAACGTCTTGTATTCTCCCTCATATCAGTCACAGGAAAAGTCACAGAAAGATCCTGGGAATAGAACTGGTGGTGAAGGAAGTGTCGGCAGTGGGCAATATGGTGGAAGACTAGGATCACTGGGAGCCTGTCATAGTCATCTTGGTCAGTTCTGGAAGGTGAGGGATGTGGTGTTGGCAAGAAGGCAACTGAAGGTTATGGGCTGCAAACAAAATATCAAGGAAGTCAAATAGTTACCAAGGTTTCAGAGAGGAGTAAAGCTTTAGTGAAATAAGTTTTTCCAGAGGAATTAGAAAATGGGAATCCAAGGGAGTACAACAAAGGAAGATTCCATGTTGGAAAGTATGGTGGAATGATGTCTGAGGAAAGAGAAAGAGAAATAAGATAGAAAAACAGATAATGAAATTAAATATTAAAAATAGGAATTGAGTCATGGGATGCATGAGCCTAATATTGGAACTAGAATACATCAGCAGTTCAAGGCAAAAGAATTCTCTTTTCATTTTAAAATATTGTACTATTTTTATTAAATATTCAATATGCTGAAAATATTTATAAAATATGTATAAGGTATAAGAAAAGTCACAGAGACATATCCAGGTTTTATGGAGTTATAAAGTTTACACAATTAATGGGGATTTCTTAAAAAACACAAACAAAACCAAAAACCCCCACAAATGCAAAATTAGATATAACAACAGTCATTTCTTTAGAATTGAAAAAAAAATGTGACAAACCTTTAAAAAGGATAAAATTACTCCAAACTTTACAAATGCAGAAAAATATATTTATTTAGTGGTTTATTTTTTCTTTATTTTTAGTTGAATAGTGGGAGAGAGATGCAGTCTTTTAGCCTTTTGACAGTTAGTTTACCAAGTAGAGAGAATATAGATAACAATATTTTAAAGTATAGTTACAAAAAGATGGAAGAGTCAGATGCTGTGTCACATGCCAGTAATCCAAGCTACACAGGGGAGACTGAGACAGGAGAATCACAAGTTCCAGGCCAGCTTGGGAAACTTAGCAAAACCCTGTCTCAAAATAAAAATAAAAAGGGCTAAGGTGTAGTTCAGTGGTAAAGGGTCCTTCAGTTGAATCCATAGCCCATAGAACTTAAAAAAAAGAAAAAAGAAAAAAGAAAGAAAGAAAGAAAAATAACAAATTAGTAAAAAGAATTTTAAATGTTTTCACCACAAGGAAATGATAAGTGTTTGAGGCAGAGATAGCTATGCTTATCCTTAATTGAATATCTTTTGATGGATATATATATATATTAAAGCATCACATTGTAGTCCATAAATATGCACTATATATGTATACAGTATGTATATGTGTGTGTATACATATAAAATACTATATATATATATATGAAAAAATATATATATATATGAAAACACATTTTAATTAATGTTTGTTCTAGCCCTGAGTATAAGTTTTCTGAGAGCAAGTGGTAAGGAGAAAAATGAATGAAGAGGAAATGGCAGGAGGTAGACCAGTCCCAGGAGCACTCTATGTGTCTGTCAATCAAATGGAGGAATGTGGAACCCTGCTGAGATTCACTTACACGAGGCATTGGTTATGCCTAGAAATCCATCCTGTGCAGGACTAGTCATGCTGTGCATCTCTACTTACCTATTATGTTGGTGTTTAAGATAAAATGAAGGCAAAGAGCAGTGTAAGGCAAGAACTACAAGGCAGGGGAGAAACTGGACACAGATGGGCTTTGATGATGTGGTGTTCCCTCGAATATGTTCTGGTTAGATGGCAGTAAAAACTGAAACACATTTTTATTTTAACAAGGATGTGTTTATATGTATTCATGCAATTAAAAATAAGAGATAAATAAACTTGGTAAGGAGGGGGAAATAAAGTAGTCTTGTTTGTTCTGATAAGAAAATATGTCTATCATTTATTTTTTTAAAAATTTAAACCTGATTAAAAGAACAGGATGAACAGTACTGATCAATTTGTGATAAAAGTAACACACACATGAAACTACATATAAAACTATTTCTAAAGTGTGTTACATCAGAGGAATGGTATTGGTACAGGGAAACACATAAGATTTATTTAATCAGTTTTTTTTTCTTTTACTTTTTACAAGGAATATCTATTTTATTAAAATAGAAATTAATGCCTCAACTAGATACAGCAGTGAGAGATACTGACTGAGCTGGAAAAACTCGAAGCTTTCCTAAGCAATATTTAATCAACTACAGCCTGTGTATCAGTCCATTCTGGCTTCTATAACAAAATACCATAAACTGGGTGGTTTCTAAACAGAAGTTTAATTCTCACAGTTCTAAAGGTGGGGAAGTCCAAGATCAAGATACAAGCATATTCAGTGTCTGAAGAGGCCCTTATTCTTGTGTGGCTCTCCTTTCTCTGTGGCCTAACCTTCCTGAAGGGACAAAGCAACTCTTTTATCAGGGCACTTATTCCATTTATGAGGGCGCTGCCCTAATCACCCAGCCACCTCCCTGAGGCCCCATCTCTAAATGCCATCACACTGGGAAATAGCTTTCAACATAAAAATTTTGGGAGACATTCAGACCAAAGCAGCCTATAATTTTATTAGTCATCTTTAGTCAGCCCTGAAAATTAACATGTGCTAGTAGACTCCAGAGTTTCAAATTATCATAACTCAGAGTGTGGCATGATACTAAAATTCTCCCCCAGGAAACACAAAATCCTCCTTGGATTATTA